TAACATTTGTTATATCAGCATGCCATGTAACTCAAAACATAACGTCGTTAATTTAAATTGACGGAAATGGTTCAATTGATTCAATTTTGCACAAACAGGTACCTAATTGAGATAAAATTTAATTGGAGGACCAATTTAAGATAAATCTACATAAAGAGGGACATCGAAGATGATTAAACCTTATTATTATTTATATTTATTTTGTTTAGTGAAATTATTATAACTTATTTTTATTTACATTTATTTGTCCATTTATTTTATTCAGTGAAGTGTTTTTAACTTTTATTTATTTATTTATTTGTTTTATTCTTTATATTTATTTAAGGGTTAAATATGTTTTTAGTCCCTAAACTATTGGCCGTTTCTGGTTTTCGTCTCTCTTTCAAAGTAAGGTACAATTTGGTCCTCATTCTTTTCGAAACGTTCGTTTTAGTCCTCGGAATTTTGGTTTTAGTCCTCATTTAATGAGGACCAAATTTTTAAACAGTGTTTAGTTTTCGAGGACTAAAACGAACGTTTCGAAAAGAATGAGGACCAAATTGTACCTTACTTTGAAACAGGGACGAAAACCAGAAACGGCCAATAGTTTAGGGACTAAAAACATATTTAACCCTTTATTTAATTTCGTAAAGTATTTTTAACGGCATTTTTTTATTTTTATTATTTCTATTTCTTTTTATCTAGTGAGATATTTATAACTTCACTTTTATTTACACTTATTTTGCCTATTTATTTCTTTTAATGAGGTATTTTTAACCTTATTTTTTATTTACTTGTTTTTGTTATTTATATTTATTTTATTTAGTGAGATATTTACAATCTCATTTTTAGTTATATTTATTTTATTTAGTGAAGTATTTTTAATATTATTTTTTTAATTTACTTGTCTTTATTTTTTATATTTATTTTATTTAAATGAGATGTTTACAATCTCATTTTTATTTACATGTATTTGTTTGTTTATTTTATTTAGTCAGATGTTTTAATTTTTCTTTTATTTTTATTTACTTTTTTTTGTTATGTATATTTATTGAAGTGTTTATAACTTTATTTTAATTTATATTTATTTATCTATTTAATTTATATTTATTATTTATGTTTATTTTATTTAATGAAGTGTTAATGATCTCATTTTATTTATATTTATTTGTTTATTTATTTTATTTAGTTAAATGTTTTTAGTCTCATTTTTTATTTACTTATTTTTATTATATATATTTATTTTTATTTAATGATGTTATTATAATTTTATTTCATTTAATGAGGTGCCTTTAACTCAACTTTTTTTGTTTATTTATCTTTATTATTTATATTTATTGTATTTAGTAAAGTGTTGTTAAGCGTATTTTTTATTTATATTTATTTGTCTATTTTATTTTATTTATAATGGATTCTCAAATGGTAGTTATTTATATGAAAGAATCTCTTTCCATTACAAATAGCTTCTTTATATCTATTAGCTTATACAACCTATCTTTTTCATTTATTACTATCCTATATATTTCAATATATATTTTTATTATCCTTTTGATATGTTAGTATCTATTTCCATTTTAGAGACAAATAATTATTGCACCTTTTTAATCATAATTTAACTTAATTTTTATTTTTTATGTAAGTCAAATTAAAAAATTCAACATTATAGATTAAAGTAATTAATGTTTCACTACACGTTATATGAAAATTCCAACAGTGAAAATTGTGAAAATTCAAATTCAATATAATAATAATCTAAATTGAAAAATAAAAATGTAAAATTCGAGAAGTATGTATATAAACTAGTTTTTTACAGATTATTTTTATAATATATTACAATAGAGTTTGAATTTAAAATTTTATGAAAACTACTTACTAGATTACTAGATTTTGCTCTAAGAATTTGAAACTAGTAATAATATATAAACAATACTTACTATAAAAAAAAAAAAAAAACTAGTCATTTTTGTTTACGTATTCAATTATCACTCTAACATTTCGTGTGGGAAGATGTTGACGGGTACATAGGTGTGAACCAAACGTTTTATGTGTGTGAAGTTTGTATCAAAAATGTGTGCACAAGTTAAGATGATATAATTATAAGATAATGTCATTTTGATTTTGATTTGGCAGAGATAATGGGTCGGTGCAAATTTGTACCCTCCGTGCCTCCTGTGTCCACCATCATCTGTTTGAAAAAACTTGAATTATGTGATGCACTGCAAAAGTTAGGGCATTTTCACTCTTCTGTGTGGTTCCAGATTTTCCAATTTTAGTCAATGCTTAATTCAATCGATCAAGTATGGCCACAGATTTTCTCAACTGTAACCTCATACAAGAACTCCATTGTAAAGATCATCAAGCATCTTCATCTTTTGATAAAATTTTAATCATTCACAGAGATATTAGAGGTGTTTTATATTTATGATATAGTTATTGAAATAAATAAACTTTCTATAGTTACTTATGATTAAGAGTATAATTATACCTAACTTTCTAGGGTTCTTTTGAAAATGAGAAGTTTAAAACATTATAGTAAGAGATTGTAGATTCTAACTTTATCATCACTATTATATGTTATAGACACTATTAATATTATATAATTTCTCTCTTTATTGAGTGTATTTTACACATTACTTTTACAATTAGCAAAAGAATTACTCATCTAACCATCTCAAATTACCCATCCTTTTACTTTATTTTATTAATCATCCATTTCTTTCAATTTGCTCTCTTTTTTCACTATCAATTTCTCAATTAAAGTTTAATATTTTTGTTGTTAAATTATATTAATATTTAAGATTGGTTCATGTAATTTAAAGTATAACTTTGATGTACAGATTCTAATGTGATGATTATTAGAATATAATGTATTAAAGTTATAGGGATTATTTTAGAGTTATTAAAATTAATCTCTCTCTTCTCACTTCAAAAAGGGCATTTTGGTATTTTATTAAATTGATTAAATATCATAAAAGATGGAAAAAGTTTGACTACGGTTGACAGGTTGTTAAGTTTCTGAAAAGAGAGAAAGAAAGGTTACGTTCTCTGAAAAAGAAAAGAAAGTGTGACATTCCTCACAATTTTCTATATCATCAAGAAATCATTAAAGAGAAGTAAGAGAAGGGAGAACATTGACAGGAATAAACTATACAATGGATCCAGGTAAGTTCTTTTGCACGTATGAGAGAATAGTGAGTATCATGAAAATTCAAGATTCTATGTGTGTTTTTCATTCAATTGAAAATTAAAGAATTGCTTACATTTGTTTAACCTTACATTATAATTTAAATTATCCATTACAAATTTGAAATGCAATTTGTATATTTGAAGATATTTAATACTATAATTTTTATTATAATATGTTTATATGTTAAAAATATTTATTATTATCTATTTAAATTGCATTAAATATTTTCATATACATTTCTAATTAAATCATATATTCTTACACCGTATATATATATAGACGAGACATGAGAAAAATGGGATGAGAATCATTTCGTAAATTTAAAAACAAGGTGCCATAATTTGATTTTGTATAGAAACTTATTTACATATATTTATGTAAGGACAAAATAAAATAAAAAGAAAAAACATTTTTTACAAACTTAAATTATTTACCCATAAATTAAAAAATAAATTATTTATTCTTAACTTTTTTTTCTCTTCTATTTGTTAGTCAATCTCTCTGTGCTTTTTTCTTCATTTCATATTGATATATTTTTTTGTTGTGAAAATACCTTTTTTATGGAAATAAAATATTTAACTCAACATTAAGATACTTAGTTTGTTATTCATATTTCTTATATATTGTTGATCTCATTCTTTCATCTTCATTTCACGTGAGACTTTCAACTTTAGATTAGAATTTCTTTAATCGTAAGTCTTTTCCACATTGCAATTTTTCTTCAAAAGTACTTTTACCCACAAGTTTAATTAGTCATATAATACTTTTCACATTCAACATCAATTGTTGCATTCTTCATGGGCATACTAAGAATAATTAGTACATAATTGGAAATTTTGAATTGAATAATTGAATCAATTCATATATATCATCTTCAATTCAAAATAATTCATATATATTATCTTCAATTTAAAATCTTGAGATATTAGATGGTTTTTCTAGACTCGTAGTTTCACACTTGAATTTTCACAAATTTTAAATTTGAGCTTAACATAAAGTTGATTTGTATTAATTATAATAAACAAATTTTATATTCAAAGTTGACAAATACAGTAGAAACAATGGAAAATGTACAAAATTGATTTTGGTTTGTTTTTAAGGGTTGAATAGTTACCCTTTGTTTTCATGCGTATGCATATTAATTTGATTGAAGAACAAACTTATTTTAATGTTCAAAACTTAAATAAAGATTTATAATTGATAATTTTTGGGTTGTAGATAATATTGTGAATTTTGCCAAAATTTCATTTTTCTCAAGCAAAGGCTATGAAAAGACAATTATCTCTTCTCAAAGGTGAATAACACTCAAGCAAAAAAGAACATGAAAACATCCAGTTTTTAAGTGAGATGTTTTTTCTCAAGTGAAAATTATTTTCCAATTAAAAAAATATATGTGTGTGTATATGTATATATAAGTGTTTAACGATGTAATATTTAATTTAATTGACCTTAAATTTGAATAATTGTGTAGAAAATTATTAATTAATTAATTTTATTTTTGAATTTGAAGTCACATATATATCATAATATCATAAGTCTTTTGCGATTTATATATTAGATAGATATCATTTTGTTAATAATGGTAGGTGTAGTTTGAACATATTAATGAGATGTAATAAATGGTATGTGAATTATATATTTGATTTTTAAATAAAATTAACTAACCTTTACACGTGTCTTTATCGATTATTATGATTATATATAGTATAGGAAAAATAATTCTAGTAGAAGTGCATGTAACGATGAGAGAAAATAAAAAAATAAATATAAAGATGCCGTGATGGATAGTATATATAGAGATAGCAGCACCTCCGTTTTCTCTAGCACCGATCTCTTTCTCCATTTATTGCTCTCTTTGATATATCACAACCTTGCTATATACATCTCTTATTTTGGTTATTCCTTTTTATATTATTGTTTAGGTAATATCTGTCATCAATGGAAGCCAATGCAGATTATACCCAAGATGCCACCGTTGATTTCCGTGGCCACCCTGCACTTTCATCCAAAACCGGCAAATGGAAGGCTTGTGCTTTTCTTGTTGGTCAGAATCAATTCCTTTTCTCAGATCTCCAATCAACTTTTCTTAATTCTTATTCATATTGGTTGCATTCTGCAGGCAGCATACATCTAAACTGTTTCTGTATATATATATATATATATAGTTACGTATAGCATGAATGAATGATGATATGGTATGATTAGTCTGATTTAATGGTGTTTGATTCAGGGTATGAAGCATTTGAAAGGATGGCCTTTTATGGAGTGGCTTCGAACTTGGTGAATTACCTTACAAGCCAACTTCATGAAGACACAGTTTCATCAGTGAGGAATGTGAATAACTGGTCAGGATCTGTGTGGATAACGCCAATTCTTGGAGCTTGCATAGCAGATTCTTACTTGGGTCGCTTCTGGACTTTCACTCTCTCATCTCTCATTTATGTCTTGGTAACTTCTTTTCTCTTTCTTTTAAAATACCAGCTTCTCTGTATTTTCTCCATCATCATCCACTTGCGTCAACATTCACCATATTTTATATTCCATACAAACCAAATACTGTGAAAAGGTTACAAACAATACCAACAGTGAAATTGTTATACTTTACTGTATATAATAAGTTTGTTGAATTTTGTTATAAATTTTGAAAGTTAATCAATCTAAATTAATTAACTCTTCTCTCTCTTATTTACTTTTAGCACCTTTTTTGTGAGTTTACCTCATCCACCAAATACTTCCAATTCTATTATTTGCACTTGTGGGGGCAATATATATGATTGTTAACTGTCATAGATATGACAAGATAATTATTTGTGATTCAAAAATAGCCCCACCTATGAAGCCATATGTGGCCTCGTTTCTGTGGTTGATTTTTCAAGAAAAAACAATTTCCAATTCAAAATTTTATTTTATTTTATTTATGTTTTTCGTGTTCCAGTGTGAGATGTATATAATGAAGCATTACCTATATTTTGGGCAATATTCTCTCATTTTTATTCTTTTAAAGTTTAATTTTTAAAAGAGGAAAAAATAAGAGAGGCTTTATGTAAAATGTTACCCACAGAAGTAACTTTTTCAATATATATAGCATGGGTTTTCTGTATTTCAAATCAATATTTACGAGACCAGTAAATAATATATTCTTTATTGTTAATTAAGATTTATTAAAAATAGTAAAATCATATAAAACTCATTGAATATGCTACATTTTTCTATTTTTAGTAAATTTATATAATACTAAGTGTGACAATGATATTAGGATTTCCAAAATTCATTTCAAAGAATTAATGTGCACTGACAGTTTATAAAAATGGGATGAGAAATTATATTGGAAGGCTGAATTACCAAGTGATTGGTAATGAAAGAATATGCCCCTTGAGAAATTATTCTAAATGGTGATCACTTTGTTTTTTTACCTGAGTATGTTGTATCATTTCATGCAGATTTGCATGTACTGCAGGTTAAAAATTATACAACTCTGTGATATAGATGTGTGTATCTAGCAAAGCACTTGATGCACTTACAAGTTGCATTATTTGATGACAGGGTATGACACTTCTGACAGTAGCAGTGTCACTGAAGAGCTTGAGACCAACATGCAGCAATGGCATATGCAAGAAGGCTTCAACCTCACAGATTGCATTTTTCTACACAGCCCTTTACACAATGGCAATAGGGGCAGGGGGAACAAAACCCAACATCTCAACGTTAGGTGCTGACCAGTTTGATGACTTCAACCCGAATGAGAAAGAGCTAAAGGCCTCCTTCTTCAACTGGTGGATGTTCACCTCATTCTTGGGTGCTTTCATTGCCAGTTTAGGATTGGTATACATTCAAGAGAACTTGGGATGGGGACTTGGTTATGGTATTCCCACTGCTGGTCTCATCCTTTCATTGCTTATATTCTACATAGGCACACCAATTTATCGCCACAAAGTAAGGTCAACCAGTACTCCTGCTAGAGACCTCGTTCGTGTCCCCATTGCAGCATTCAGGAACAGAAAACTCCAACTTCCTACTGACCCCTCTCATCTCTATGAGCACAACCTCCAACATTATCTTAGCACTGGAAAACGCCAGTTCTATCACACTCCAGCACTCAGGTCTGCACATCATCAACTTTCGGTTAAAGAAACCAGACATACTATATTTCTCATTTTTCAATTCACTCATTACAACCTCTAAAATGCATATTGCTTGGTAGACACTCAAGGTTAGTCCATATCTTGAAACCGAAATAAATTAATAAAACAGAAACATGACAATATAATAAGTGACATGATAGGGTAAAAGGTGTCGTATCAGTGATTATAGTTTTGGAATGTGTAAGGACATAAGAGTGATGTGGAAGTAATGGTGCATCTGAAAGTAACTTTTCTTTAATCTCAGATATATTAGTATATAGAATGATAGATGGAAGATTAGATGACACATTTAAAGATTTGTTTTTTGTTTTTCCTAATAAACACCTTCTTAATTAAGAGAACTTCCAAAGTACTTCAACGTTTTTTCAAGTTCTTCGTGTGAAAGTATCGAGAAGAGTTGGATACATAATTGAGAAAATTTGGATCTGATAGATCTGATCTACGAGTCAATGTATATATAAAAGACCTGAGACTGTAAATCTCTCTTACTTAACACTTCATAAATATAATAATAAGATTGAAAAACAACATTTCCATTTACAAAAAGGTTTTATATACTATATATTTACGTAAATTTGAATGAGATAAGTTTCGAGAAAGTCAACACCCAATGAGAGAGACATAAAAAAATTTATAACATAATAGTAAAAATAAGTAAAGAGAAATTATAGGATTCGAAAAAGTTGAATTGAATGTTAACAAAACATTTCTCAGTTTTTATAGTATAAAATTAAATATAAGGAATGGATGTAGGGATAGAGTATAAAAAAACAAATTGACATCAAGATATCAAGAGGTTATATACAATCAGAGGATGGAACGTGTGATGAGAAAATAAACAAAGAGACTACAAAAAATATTTATGAGAAAATTAATGATCAAAAGAAATGAGGAAGGTGCAGAATAAGTGGGGAAATGTTTTAATAATTTAAATATTCAAATATGAAATTTGGTTGTATATGATTATTTATATTTTATAAAAGTGCTCTCATATGATTATTTAAATATTCTTTGAGGCCTTCTTTCATAGTCCCTATCTTTCAACCAAATTGTGATCACTGCTGCAGGTTACTACAAACAATAGCTATCACATATTGCATGAAAAACACGATATAGTCCCCATTTGAATTCTTGGTGCATAGAGAGACACATAGGACACATTCATCGCCAAAAGATTGGATCATGTTGGAACATTCCACTACCACATAAAATAAAGACAGTATTTTTTTACTTATACTAATTTTGTTAGAAACTGAAAACTTGTGTGCAGGTTTTTGGACAAGGCTGCTATTAAAGAAGACAGTGCTGGCTCTAAAAGGGTACCGCTGACAGTAACCCAAGTAGAAGGCTCTAAACTTATCTTTGGTATGGCCCTTATATGGCTGGTGACACTGATTCCAAGCACCATTTGGGCACAAATCAACACTCTTTTTGTGAAACAAGGAACCACTTTGGACAGAAACCTTGGACCTCATTTTAGAATACCCTCAGCCTCTCTTGGAAGCTTTGTGACACTTTCCATGCTTCTCTCAGTGCCAATGTACGATCGGATTTTTGTACCGTTTATGCGCCAGAAAACTGGTCATCCCAGAGGAATCACATTGCTTCAAAGGCTTGGGATTGGATTTTCAATCCAGATCATAGCCATTGCAATTGCTTATGCAGTAGAAGTTAGAAGAATGCATGTTATCAGTGCAAACCATGTAGCTGGACCTAAAGATATTGTCCCCATGAGTATATTTTGGCTGATGCCTCAGTATGTACTAATAGGGATAGCAGACGTGTTTAATGCCATTGGATTACTAGAATTCTTCTATGATCAATCCCCTGAAGACATGCAGAGCCTAGGAACGACATTCTTCACTAGTGGGATCGGTGTTGGGAACTTTCTGAACAGCTTTTTAGTGACAATGGTTGATAAAATATCAGGAAGGGGTGACAAAAAGAGCTGGATAGGGGACAACTTGAATGATTCTCACTTGGACTACTATTATGGGTTTTTGTTGGTCATGTCAAGTATCAATTTGGTGGTTTTTTTTTGGGTTTCAAGTAGGTACATTTATAAGAGGGAATCAATAAGGGTCAAAGAGAGCCTTTGTGTTCAAATGGAGGGGAACCCAACTTTGGACGCTTCTCTTAGTTTACAAGTGTGAAAACTACCTATTAGGGTTCTAGGCCACCACAAATAACCGATAGTGTGATATGAAGCTTAAATTTACTTCAGATTCTACGACAAACTGATCAATGATTCTATATTGAATTTAATTAGCTCCACCTTTAAGTGAAGTTGGAGCCAAATAAATTCAGATACACAAGTTTGTGTAGAATTTATGAACATATAAACTAATATCTTAGTATTTATCACACCATGTGTGCTATATTGTAAAATGTTTGTGATGTTAGTATTATCTTTTTCAGCTTTTGCTGATGGAATTTCAAGTGAAAATGCAATGTTTATCACTTTATATACCAACGAAATGTATCCATTACGCAGAACGCGTTGGATTACATTTTTTACAAATTCTGTTAATTTGGTGATGAAAATATTCATGTCCTTCACAATGATACGATCTAAACATAATACAGAGACACAACAATGAAGCATGTGTGTAGTTTAGCGTTGGAATCAGCTAACACGAGTATAGTGTGAGCAATCAAGGGGTTGCTTTGCTATTATTAACGTGGGAAAAGAAAATCGATTCTGCCTAGAACCATCTCAAAAACTAGACATCTGTAACTTGAACTTGGATGATATCATAACTTCACAGAGGTTTCCATGAAATTAAGTTGAAAAACTTTGTAGCTAGAAAAATATTTTGACAAAACTATACTTTCTTTTTAGCCTTATAATTCTAACCTTAAGATCCCTGAAAATTTATCAATTCAATACTATACAAAGCTAAACTAAGGACAATATAAATATTATTTTATGCTCTTCTTTATATGGAAAAAAACTACGGGTGAAATGTCCACACTAACTGTTTCGTAACAAAAATAGTCAGGACCCGTAACACAACAATGAACAGCATAACATTTTTACTAAAAGGTAAGAAATAACCACTCAGATCCATTGGTTAAACATAGCTGAAGCTGTGGGGTAAACTTTACTCCATAAGAGTTAGGTTCTTCCTAGAAAACTACTGATGAGTAAATAGAATTCATAATAATTCATAATTAAAGCTTGAGTTTCAGGTAAATGTGATAAAACCTCAACCTTAAAAAGCTATAGTCTAACTTGAAAAAAGGGGTCATGAAAAATTACACTACACCGCACATCTTTATGACAGCAACAAACAACCTTGATTACAAAACAACCAAATAAGCTTCAGCCGAGCTTCATTTATTTTCTTCTTTGTATTAGTACTGTGACTGAAATATACATTGTAGGCATGGGCATGATGAATAACCATAACCTTTGGAAACCATTACAAATTAAGTTTGAATTCACATGTTGGCGTGAAAACAAAAACCTATTTCTAACTAAAGTTTGATGTAATGACATCTCACAATTTAGCAGACATTCTCAACCAAAACCATATTTATTAGAGTATGAATATGAACATTTCAATTACCATGATAACTTTGTCATAACCGTAACTCATTCAAAACTTGAAAAGTCAATGAATCTTTTAAGGAGTACAATCCTGTTGCTGCAAGTAATGCTCATCTTGCCAAACAAAAACAATATCTTTGAGAGTTGGTCTTAAATCTTCCTTGACTATCTTCTGGAATTCTAATGCATCATCGCCGGATTTCATCTCAACCAAATGGAAAGATGGAGCAACTTCAAATATTTCAACATCAATGGAAAGCGGTTCTTTTCTACCTTCCTTGGATCTCTCCAATTTCAGCAGCCCTCCATCCTTCTTAATGATCACCATCCTCAAAATGCGAGCAATATCTTCCACTGTAGCCATGATAGATGAGGCAGAGCTCATGAATGTAAATTTGACATTTTCCTGTTCACCAATGTTAGCAAATAGGCCAGACAAGTCTAGCCCTGCAGACAGAGAAATTATGTCAAAAGCATTTAAATGTCCAGGCGCAACCAATTCTTGAACTGCCTCAACAGAAGCAGTGATTGTATTCTCGCACAAACCAAAAACTTGATCAGAATTAACTAAATCCACATTTGCAGACTCTCTTTTCACTTCACCGGAATTGGGTTTGAATCCTTTTCTGAACCACGAATTTTCCATAACTTTTGCCATGGATATCCTGGTATCTGGATTTGGGTCAAGGATTTTCCCTAACAATCTGCGCACTTCAATTGAAAACCAGTTTGGACATTTGTATTCCGCCCTGCTTATTTTCCTATACAGTGACATGAGATTTAAATCATAGAATGGCAAATGACCAGCCAAAAGAACAAATAAGATCACTCCACAAGACCATACATCAGATTTTGCTCCATTATAGCCCTTTCTACTTATAACCTCAGGCGCCACATATGCAGGAGTTCCACAAACTGTATGCAACATGTCGTCTTGACGATGCGATTCAACAAATGCACTCAACCCAAAATCTGCTACCTTCAAAATACCATTCTCATCCAAAAGCAAGTTCTCTGGCTTCAAATCCCTGTGATAAACTCCCTTGCTATGGCAAAAATCAACTGCACTGACCAATTGTTGAAAGTACTTCCTTGCCCTAGCCTCACTTAATCTACCTTTAGCCACCTTGTTAAAAAGTTCGCCCCCTTTGGCATATTCCATGATGAAGTAAATCTTGGTCTTGGTGGCCAAGACCTCAAACAGTTGCAAAACATTGGGGTGTTTAATCCGTCTCATGATAGATATCTCTCGCTTTGTTTGATCAACCAACCCAATTTTTAAAATTTTCTCCTTTTCAATCACCTTAACGGCAACACTCTCCCCGGTCTTGAGGTCCCTTGCATGGTAAACCTTTGCAAAGTTTCCTTGCCCTAATAGTTTCCCAAATTCATACTTCTGCATCAACACATTCCCTCTTTTCCCCATTCTCAAGCACAAACCCTCAGACACAAAAATAAGCACCCCGGTTTTCTAAGTGAGGAACCTTTATTTCTATCTATCTCTCTCCAATTTCTCTAACCTTGAAAAAAAAAACCACCATCACCAATTCTAGGTTTCACTGGACTCCTTCAACCTCCTCGAGAAGCCACCAAAAAACGTGCGAAACGCAACCAAAAAATGGCTTCAGAGAAGATGCTCAATTCAAATGCTCTCCCTGAGAATGAGAAACAAAAAAAACCATTAAAAAAAAACACATATACAAAAGTTCCAACGCAAATATATACGAAGTAGAATTAAAATAGAATGCAATTCCATGAAACAATATAAGACATCACAAAAGTCAAAACATCATCATTCACAAGCCGTGGACTCAACCACTTAATCGTCTTCAACCAGAAAAAAAAAACATAACCAAATGAACCTTGTCACTTTTCCTCGATCGATCAACCAAACAAAGAATAAGATAAAAAAAAGTTTAGGAAAATTGAGCTAAATTACGACATTATCAACCTAAGAAGATAGTAGAAAGGTTGTGAAAAATAGAGTAAGAGAAGAAGCATAAGAAGCATAATCATAAGAAGAAGAAGATGTTACCGTTTGAAGGAAGATGGGACGTTAGAGAGGGAAAAAGCATAATGGTATTGGAATGAACAAATTAGCTTAGTATATATAAACCACTTTCTTCACTTTCCCTAAGTTGTCAAATACAATCCACATTCCTCGTCATATTTCACTGTCTTTTCCTCTTTCTCATTCAAATATGCCTACGTTATTTCCCTTTTCATATTTTTTATTATATTTTTTATTCAGTATTTAGACCAACTACATATTTAGATCAAAATTATTAATCACATTCAAATATCTTTGTATCAGTTAGTTCCTACTATTAATAATTTTCCAACATATTCTGATGTGTTATAAAACGCAATTCACCCAATCCTATTATTTTTCCAACCCTATTACCTAATCACTTTCTATATCACCTAAATTCTTAATATCACTATGTATTAATTCTGTTATTTTATTATTTGATTTCACTTTCTTCAAGTTTTATTCTGTATCGGTTTTATTATTTTTCTATATCAATCAAGTAATTCCATAACAGTAACTTCTTAGAATAACTCTACCTACATAAATAAACCAAACCACATCTTCAGAAAAATAAAGTAAACAATAACAGATAACATGATTACTAACGAAAGAGAAATTTTTTTATCTTTAATTTTTTTAATCTAAGAATTAAAGTAAATCATCATCCGTTATAGCTATTAATTAAGTCAAAAGAAAATAATTGATTAATGTAAAAATATTCTTTCAGTAACTTCTTCTTGTTTCTTACTAATCTATACAAATAAATCATTTGAAAAAAAAACGAAAAAGTAATCAAAACCTGAATTGTTGTCCAATCAAAACTCTTTCTGCTTCCTCACAGCCTTCAGAAAATCCAGAAAAAGTCCACCAATTTCTTAACTTTTACTAATGTGTTGTGTTTTCAAGCACAGCCTAGATAACATAAGCAAAAACATACACAACAACTATGTCAGGAAAAACATAATCTTTTCAATTGTAAGCCTCTGTTTGGCAACAGAGGGGAAGAGTAACAAATACAAACTAC